ACACAATAAGTTATTTTCACTACAATTTTTTTCACCGATTTTAACTCAAGTGTAAAATAAGCTCCCCAAAAAAAGAACTAAAAATAAAAGCTGCAGTTATAATATTCTCCACATGGTGGTGATCTAATTTGTTATTGGTGGAACGCAAAGACAGGAAGTGATGTGAACAACAGTCTGGAATTTCCTGGTCAAAGAGAGGAGAGGAGACATTGCTGGAGATGGCTGCAGAGGAGGTAATGAGATATTATTTTATATTTACACACCCCCCCGTCATGTCTGTCCTCGTCCTCCATAGTCACTGTAATTTTCTGTAAAGATAGAGTAATGCTCAGATGGATCATAAATATAAAAAACTGTCCATCCAGAGCCGCCATTTATAGACCGCATACATCCTAAATATAGAGCCATTTATCCAACTGTCCATCCAGAGCCGCCATTTATAGCCCCGATACATCCTAAATATAGAGCCATTTATCCAACTGTCCATCCAGAGCCGCCATTTATAGCCCCGATACATCCTAAATATAGAGCCATTTATCCAACTGTCCATCCAGAGCCGCCATTTATAGCCCCGATACATCCTAAATATAGAGCCATTTATCCAACTGTCCATCCAGAGCCGCCATTTATAGCCCCGATACATCCTAAATATAGAGCCATTTATCCAACTGTCCATCCAGAGCCGCCATTTATAGCCCCGATACATCCTAAATATAGAGCCATTTATCCAACTGTCCATCCAGAGCCGCCATTTATAGCCCCGATACATCCTAAATATAGAGCCATTTATCCAACTGTCCATCCAGAGCCGCCATTTATAGCCCCGATACATCCTAAATATAGAGCCATTTATCCAACTGTCCATCCAGAGCCGCCATTTATAGCCCCGATACATCCTAAATATAGAGCCATTTATCCAACTGTCCATCCAGAGCCGCCATTTATAGCCCCGATACATCCTAAATATAGAGCCATTTATCCAACTCTCCATCCAGAGAAGAAGGGATAAAGCTCCTGATTTTGGGGGATTTGGTGGAAGTGATGCTGCAATTCTGAACCTCTCAGAATGTTATTGGAGGATTGTTGGTCCTTCTTGACTCTCACAATAACCTTATTGGCTGTCCTGCCATGTGACCCTGAACACCAATCACAGCACAGACCTATTTTGGTTGTTGGCCATCGGGGTGATATCAGTATGGAACCGTATTTTTTCCTATCCAATATTTACCAGGTAATACTTCTCCGTAACGTTCAGCTACAAAACCAAAAAGAAAAACCAAACAAACAACTAAACACAGAAAAAAAACTTAACAGAGGATCTTTAGTCAGGAATTTCACACTCGGGTGATATAAACCGAGAAAACGAAATTTTGAAGGGGGCCGTGTTATGTCTTGAGGACTAAAGCTGCTTAATCATAGGAAAGATCATACCGCCATGGAACTTACTATTGAATGAAAAGTGTATTTAAATTCACTTTGGAACATTTTAATTTCTGGAAAAAAAGGGCCACAAAACAGAAAATGTCATCATCAGGTGGAAGTGCATTCATTTGTTTGATTGTTCTTAAACCCCTGAGGGCCACAGAGTAAGAGGGTTGCGTACGGCCCATTAAACCTGATCTGACCCTTCTATGCAGAAATCTAGCATCAGACCTTTCCGATTTATATAAAAAAGGAAATAGTAAATAAATAAAATAAATACAAAATAATAAAAAAATAAAATATCAAGAAAGACCCACGAGAACTATGGAGGAACTCTGCGGAGACGTTCGTCATTCCAATATAGCGCCAAATAATTCTCACTTTATTATCTGTCCACAGAGGGGAGTGTCCTGTGTAGATCACATGACCAAATCAATGAGCATGGACCAAGACCAAAACCGAGTGACTGAGAGGATATTGGACCTCACCCTGGAGATCATCTACCTGCTGACCGGAGAGGTGAGGAGGATTCTGGGAGGTCACATGACATCACTCTGATCTCTATTAAGACACAGACCTGACCGGAGAGGTGAGGAGGATTCTGGGAAATCTTTAATGATGATTTTGTCTCTCTCAGGATTATAAACTAGTAAAGAAAATGTCTGGTGAACCATTGACAACCAGCAGCTGCCTTCATGGAACATCACCCATCATAGAGCCTCCAACTTACTGCCTGACAACAGAAAAAAAAAAGAAGATTCTAGAAGCCACCAAGAAGATCATTGATCTGCTGACGGGAGAGGTGAGCGGTGCCGGGAATTCTGGGACATGATCCAGGAACAGACAAGGGGCGTGTCTGGGTGGTGACTGTATCATTGTGTGTGTCAGGTTCCTATAAGGTGTCAGGATGTCTCTGTCTATTTCTCCATGGAGGAGTGGGAGTATCTAGAAGGACACCGGGATCTCTACAAGGACGTGGTGATGGAGAATGCCCCGCCCCTCACATCACCGGGTAAGAGGAGAGAGCAGTACGGAGGCTCCACCTACATCCCCCATCATCTGATACACACATAGAAACAATGTATTCAGTCAGTGTGTGTGTTTCCTACAGATGGATCCAGTAAGAGGAACCCACCAGAGAGATGTCCCCGTCCTCTGTACTCCCGGGATCCCACCCAGGAAGATCTCACCGTACCCCACCATGATCAGGTAGATGGGACTCAGCATGTAGACCTAAAACTTTATTCCAAGTTTCTTATGTAAACTCTCCCTTTTTATGAATGTATTCTATAATCTTTGGGGGTTTTAGGGTGAAGACCTGAAAGACATGAAAGTTGAGTTTAAAGAGGAAGAAGAGGAGACGTTGGTGGGTGGAGCTCAGCAGTCTACGGAGGAGGGGGAGATGATGATGAAAAGTGAACAGGAGGAATCTTCTCTACATACGGACACAAGTAAGTCATAAACACTAAATGCAGAAACAGTTTTATTTTGTCTCTAAATTAAAAGGAGAAGTATGGGGTCAGTGTTTTTCCCCATAGTTCTCCTTAGGGTAACGGGAGGACACAAACTAGCGTGAGTGACAGGCAGAGACGGCTATCTAGAGGCAGAGCCAGCTGTACCCGCCCCCTCCCCCGTCCGTTCCTCCAGTCAGCGCTGGCGGATCGGAGCGGGGAGGGGGGAATCCAGCCCCTCCCCTGTCACGGCAGAGAGCCGTGACAGGATCAAGAGGTGAGCGAACCCGGTATGTGTTCCCTCACCTCCCGATCTACTGAGCCGACCTGTGACAGTCTCATTGTCACAGGTCGGCTTAGAACTATGAGGTGAGTGGAAATCACCCCTCCCCCCCCTCATAGTTCTCCTTTAAGTTTAAAGTGACACTGAAGTGCGGAGTTAAATCTTAGAAATACATTCAAGTCCCTGAACTCGGAACAACAATTGTCTCCAAGTTGTCTGAATTGTCTAAATTCTTGCTGAATAGTCCCGAAGTGCTCAGCTGACCTGAGGATGGCACAGTGGATTATCTTTGCGATAGTTTGGAGGCCTTTTAATGTCAGAAATCCTGGACACAAATAACCCCAATTTGAGCAATTGTTGGGAAGTAGTCAGCGCTACAGTGTCAGTTACAGTTTCATCAGTATACAATGTTCCTCAGTGTGGTTTGGGGTCATGAGGTGGAGGAAGGTCCATCTCCATTCTCACAGTTACAATGTCATCAGTATACAATGTTCCTCAGAGTGGTTTGGGGTCATGAGGTGGAAGAAGGTCCATCTCCATTCTCACAGTTACAGTGTCATCAGTATACAATGTTCCTCGGTGTGGTTTGGGGTCATAAGGTGGAAGAAGGTCCATCTCCATTCTCAGTTACAGTGTCATCAGTATACAATGTTCCTCAGAGTGGTTTGGGGTCATGAGGTGGAAGAAGGTCCATCTCCATTCTCAGTTACAATGTCATCAGTATTCAAAGTTCCTCAGAGTGGTTTGGGGTCATGAGGTGGAAGAAGGTCCATCTCCATTCTCAGTTACAATGTCATCAGTATTCAAAGTTCCTCAGAGTGGTTTGGGGTCATGAGGTGGAAGAAGGTCCATCTCCATTCTCAGTTACAATGTCATCAGTATTCAAAGTTCCTCAGAGTGGTTTGGGGTCATGAGGTGGAAGAAGGTCCATCTCCATTCTCAGTTACAATGTCATCAGTATTCAAAGTTCCTCAGAGTGGTTTGGGGTCATGAGGTGGAAGAAGGTCCATCTCCATTCTCAGTTACAATGTCATCAGTATTCAAAGTTCCTCAGAGTGGTTTGGGGTCATGAGGTGGAAGAAGGTCCATCTCCATTCTCAGTTACAATGTCATCAGTATTCAAAGTTCCTCAGAGTGGTTTGGGGTCATGAGGTGGAAGAAGGTCCATCTCCATTCTCACAGTTACAATGTCATCAGTATTCAATGTTCCTCAGAGTGGTTTGGGGTCATGAGGTGGTAGAAGGTCCATCTCCATTCTCACAGTTACAATGTCATCAGTATTCAAAGTTCCTCAGTGTGGTTTGGGGTCATGAGGTGGAGGAAGGTCCATCTCCATTCTCACAGTTACAGAGTCATCAGTATACAATGTTCCTCAGTGTGGTTTGGGGTCATGAGGTGGAGGAAGGTCCATCTCCATTCTCACAGTTACAGAGTCATCAGTATACAATGTTCCTCAGTGTGGTTTGGGGTCATGAGGTGGAGGAAGGTCCATCTCCATTCTCACAGTTACAGAGTCATCAGTATACAATGTTCCTCAGTGTGGTTTGGGTGTATTGGATCCTTTCTCTGGCTGATGGTCCTCCAGTTTTATTCCAGAGCCCTGAGGGACTGTTGCGTGTTTTATTACCATATATGACTCCTGAATGTGAGATATGAAGAATACCAATAACCTGTATTTATATATTGTTACCAGCAGATGGACGCCATGTCTGGAACGTCTCTGAAGGACGTCTTATGCTATCTCCGGATTGTAATGACATCACACAATATTCTCCAGGAGTGAATCCCATGACTCAAAATAGACATCACAAACCTTCCCATGTGGAGGGATCAATGGATCCCTCTAATCCCGAGGAATCTTCTGATCAATCATATACCATCACTCCAGATATCCTTCTGAGATCTCCCAGTGCTCACAGATCAATAGATACATCTCATTCCAAGGACTCTTCTTTAAGCCAAGAAGAAGTTCACACAAAGGAACATTCACTGTCATGTTCAGTGTGTGGGAAATGCTTCACGGAAAACAAGACACTTGTAAGACACCATAGAACTCACACGCGTAAACGGCCCCATTCGTGTTCAGAGTGTGGCAAATGCTTCAGTCAAAAAAGGAAGCTTCTCATACACGAGAGAATTCACACTGGAGAGCGCCCCTATTCGTGTTCAGAGTGTGGTAAATGTTTCAATGAGAAACATTTACTGCAAAGACATCAGAGAAGTCACACAGGTGAGCGTCCTTATTCATGCTCAGAGTGTGGAAAGTGTTTCACTGGAAAACAGTCGCTTCAAAATCACCAGAGAATTCATACAGGTGAGCGTCCTTATTCGTGTTCTGAGTGCGGGAAGTGTTTCACCGAGAAACAAATACTTCAAAGGCACCAGAGGATTCACACAGGTGAGCGTCCTTATTCATGCTCAGTCTGTGGGAAATGTTTGACTTCGAAAACAACGTTACTGCTGCACCAGAGAAGTCACACGGGAGAGCTTCCATATTCATGTTCGGAGTGTGGGAAATGTTTTAGTGTGAAAAACTCACTTCTTACGCACCAGAGAATTCATACAGGCCTGCGCCCCTATTCATGTTTAGTATGTGGTAAATCTTTTAATGTGAAGGATGGACTTGTTAGACATGAAAGGATTCACACAGGTGTACGTCCCTATTCATGTTCAGAGTGTGGAAAATGTTTCATTGAGAAAGGAAGTCTTGATAGGCACCAGGGATGTCACACAGGCGAGCGCCCTTATTCATGTTCAGAGTGCGGAAAATGTTTCATTCAGAGAGGAGCGCTTGTTAAACACCAGAGAATTCACACAGGCGAGCGTCCTTATTCATGTGCGGAGTGCGGGAAAAGTTTCAATCAAAGAGGAGTGCTTGTTCAACACCAGAGAATTCACACAGGCGAGCGTCCTCATTTGTGTACCGTGTGCGGGAAAAGTTTTATTCAGAGAGGAGACCTTCTTAGACACCAGAGGGTCCACACAAGCTAACACTTTTTTTTATGTTCAGACTGTAGGAAACATTTCACTGATACAGAAAGCCTCGTCAACAAAAGTCACGTCCCGATAGCCCATGTTTTATGGTTAGTTAGAGAAATGTTTTACCCATAATGTAAATTGAACATTCGGATTTCTCCGGTCCATATGACAACTGTATGGTTTAAAAAAAATACAGAATGTTTCTTTTCCAGGCTGTGATTTCATAGATATAGTTGTGCAGGTCACACAGACAACACAACGACACTACACTGTGGTTACACATGGGCAAAATGGCAACACGGAGGCGAATGTTAAAGAAGGTGGGCAAGAGAGGTGGACAATACACTGCTAAGCATGACAATACAAGGACAACAGTACCATTCCCGCACAGGGAAGAAGCAATACAGCAGCAAGAAAAAGCAGAACCATCCAATCAGGGATTCTCTTTCACTATTGGACATTTTTTTGGTTGCTACTTGTCGCCGCTCTTTGACTTCAGAGGCCGACTTTTTATTGGTCCAGACGATGTATAAAATGTGTTCCTGTAATATAGACTTTTCCTTTAGTATAAAATATGTGATTCAGGGGTCAATATATCAACGTTTTCACCCGAGATTCACACATTTCCAATGGAATCGTATGTGAAAAATGTGGGACTGAAGCTTTCTTTTTATTGTATGTTATTCGATTATCAGTTTTATTGTATATCAGTTGTTACAGTTTTCTAAAATAAACCAGAAAGCTCCACAATTCACAATATTCTGCTCTCATCAGTGAGGTTGTCTTGTATGTGAGGGGTGGGCAACCTGGATCATTCGGGTGTACGGAATATATATTCATCCACCGAGACCATTTACATATAGGCAAAAGTCTGATGGGAAGGAGCTCAGATCATAGAGAGTCCTCCATTGGTGATGGGAATGAGCTCAGTTCATAGAGAGTCCTCCATTGGTGATGGGAATGAGCTCAGTTCATAGAGAGTCCTCCATTGGTGATGGGAATGAGCTCAGTTCATAGAGAGTCCTCCATTGGTGATGGGAATGAGCTCGGTTCATAGAGAGTCCTCCATTGGTGATGGGAATGAGCTC